CCCTAAACCCTAAGCCCAAACCCTGTGTCAATGAACCTAATGCAGGTTCTTATCGTCCTAATAAGCTTCTCCGCTTGCTTTCTATCCTTTAGCACAAAAAAACCCTATGGGTCCAAGTACCTAATAATCATATACTCTCCCAACTGTTAATCTAGATAACTGATATCCGCAACCAAAGTACCTTATTATTGTGTCCTTTGGACCCTTAGGGAAAAGCCCAAAAGCCTTATAAAAAAAAGGTCTTTGGGCCCAAAAGCCTTAAAGATATGAGTCCCGAAAAACCTTATATCATAGGGTCTTTTGGGCCCAAAAGCCTTAAAGATATGAGTCTTCTGAGGGTAAGCATGCGACAACCCATTCGGAAGCAAGGAGGTGTTTGGAGAATTGTGCCAGACGCACGGAGACTTTGCGATGCGGTGCTCCTCATGTTCGGTGCTTGTAAGCTATTCAAGCACCGGCAATAATTATACCTTACCTTAACCCCAAATAACTTACCTTTTAAGGACTTACAGGAAAGAAATCATGATGGTTATCCCTTAATAAGGTAGGTTCTCTAGGGTCCAGGTACATGATAACCAGAAGCCCTCTACACATTTCAGGGTCTATTCCTGTACTTATTGAGCCTTGGCATCAAAATAGCCCAAAAGCCTTGTAAAATAGGGTCCTTGGGACCAAAAGCCTTAAAAATATGAGTCCTTTGAGGGTAAGGGTACTGCGATTTGGTATGTACCCTAATTGAAGGAACCCTATAAGCCCTCAGCCCCTATCATTGAAGTAATATAGGGGCCTTACACCCAGAGGCTCCATATAGACTACCATTATGGAATTAGGTCCCAAAAGACCATACCTATCATGGCTTTTTGAACGAATTCCATAATGGTAGTCTATTTGGAGCAGCTTCTGGGAATTAGAATTAGTGTAGCCGAGGGAGCTAGGGACGGTCAACGTTACCTTGGCAGCACACGGCCCGAGCATCCCTCGCAAACGCGGGGTTCTTATATCCCTAAGGGTCCAAGTGCTCAAATAGTACGGTTTCAGGTGCCAAAAACCATTCAGAATATGGAATTTAGGACTTAAAACCCTACTATTCGGGTACTTGGACCCTATGGGTATGGGTATAGGCCCCGCTTCGGTAAGGTTCCTTAGTTGAAGGGATGTTTCAGGATTTCTGTTGGTTTTTCTGTAACGGTACTATTTGTAAGGTTCCTTAATTAAAGGAATTTATAAGGATTTCTATGGGGTTTCTTTAAGGGCACTATAAGGGTAGTTCTCTAAGTTAGGGCCCCCTTTCGCCGAAGTGGCGCCATGGCCAATCTTTCCGTGAGGAACGACCTTCAAGGCCCCATCGAAGTGAAACTAAAGAGTGAGGACTGGAAAGTTGTGTATCCCCAGAAATCCTGCGATGTCTCTGTGTCGGATGACGAGATCTTATTTGTGCAGCTTCGATTGCGAGAAAGCCCAGAGGTGAAAGGCAGCTGCCAGGCCACCGGTGGCTCCTCAGTATCGTAGATAGGTTTAGCTTTTCAGCTTTTTGGTTTCATATAATTTGGGCTATCTTAGAAAGCTTGAACTTTTTTGGCGCCTGGTTATAGAAGACCCTAAACCCTAAACCCTAAACCCTAAACCCTAAACCGTAGTATTGTGGGCCTCCGTGGATTTCGACTCCTTCAGCCGGGAGGCGAAGCGCAGGGATCGAGCCGAGTCCAGGGAGTTAGCCCGCGAAAAAAAGCGCAGGTTTAGGGTTTAGGGTTTAGGGTTTAGGGTTTAGGGAAGCGGATGGACGCAACGATCCAACAGATCGATTGGAGCACGCTTCTGGTTTTTGGCGTCATACCCTTGCTTTTCCTGAACTCTTGCGCAATCATCCCGGCCGACAGCGCCATCGCGGCTACACTGTCAGCGATTGCCACGGTGCCGTTCTGCTGCTGCCTCACTTTCTTCAGTGTTGCTGTCGGTTCCAGAACCCTAAACCCTAAACCCTAAACCCTAAACCCTCTTTGATGGTGGAGAGTGCCGGCTCCCTGTCCCCGGTGCTTGGCTGGTGGGGCTCCTGGCACTGGCCCTGACCTGGATGACGGCCCAGCACAGCGAGCGAGGATTCGGGTGGACCGCAGCCATCGTGTGGCCTGTGCCCTTGCTTTGGGGCGGCAGGTTGTTGTTACGCCTTGTTCATGTTTCCAGAAGCGAAAGAGAGGTAGAGCGAAGACACGAAGCCAGAAGCGAGATGAGCAATCGAAATATCTGCTTCGACGGCAGCATCATACAAGAACGCGGGCGGCCCTGCGTGGCCAGCTGGCCCGGAAAGTACGAGGGAGCGTGGGAATCCCTTGTGTCGCAGACCCAGCGTGGCGAGGTCAGCGCAGCTGTCGTCTTCCTCCCTTGGGGCATAGACGACTATGGAGCACACGACCGCATCGCACTGGCTGAAGGCTTGCCGGGGACCTGCTGGTGCACGCCCCTCTACGGTGAAGAGAAGCCTTGGGGTTGCAGGTGGTTTACAAACTGGAGGCAGAACATCGAAACGGCGGTGGAATCCGGAGCAGAGCTGGAAGTCTATTACTTCCCGAATCGTGTGGGCAAGGGCAAGGTGAAGAGCTTCGAAACGGCAGGCGACGACAACCTCCAGAGGGAAGAGTTGAACAGCAGGCAAAAAGACTTCGAGAAGTCTCCGGAGTTCAAGCAGGCGATGGACGCAGGTCTTGGCAACCTCTCCAAGGAGCCAGGTGGGGGTTTCCGAAAATAGGGGACCCTAATATAGTACCCTAACTAGTAGGATCCTTGTTACAAGGACCCCCAAAATAAGGTACCCCTTATTTTCGGAAAGTCCCAGGTGCTGACGGATCCTCCCAATATAGCCGTGAAGTGCGACGCCTGTTCCTTGCTTCCCTCTCGGAGACAGAATGCGAGTTTCTAGCCACCGCAGAGGGCCTCGGCAACTCCCAGAAAGCAGAGGTCGCCTGGCTGGAGAAGAAGGGCTACACGTACTGGGAGGCGGACGTCTCGAAGTGGCTCCCTGGCGACGGAGATGAACAGTACATCCCAGCATCTGCCGAACAGACGCAACTCCGCAGCCAGCAGAAGAAAGCTTCAGCAATGTCACTCTCCATGGTGCCACTCATAGCTCCGGTCACTTGAGCACAAGATCGAGAAACCGTATGTTGCGTTGAATTTGCGACTGCGGTGCGGGCATCGTGCCACATAGAGTTCTTTGGGCTTTTCACATTTTCAGCAAGGTACTTTTACCTAAACACTAAACCGTTCAGGCCCAGAGAACCCAATACCCTTTAAATAAGGAATACGCATTAAGTTATAGGGCCTTTATTATGATTTAAGGTATATATTATATTCCTTAATTAAGGGGTATTGGGTTCTCTGGGGGGGGGTTTAGGGCTTTCCCTCACCTTCCGTATCCCAGCGCCACAAGGGCACGAGACCTGGAAATCCTGCGCCATGAAGCACCAGGACGTCACAAAGCACAAAGGGGCTAAGCTCAAAGATAAATCCTAAACTCTTTTCAGCTTTGAATCCAACATGAGTGGTCCGAATCACCGTAGACTGGTAGGAATTACGGTCATAATTTGGGAAAGTATCCCCCATAACGGTACCTATAGGACCCTTTGGGCAATGAGTCCTGGTGGTTCAGGTTCAGACCCGTCTAATTCTAGACAAATCCCAAACCCTTTGCATCAAAATCGCCGAGAAGCCTTACATAATAGGGTCTTTGGGCCCAAAGGCCTTAACATATGAGTCCTTAGAG